AACGATCTACAAGGGCTTCCTCCTCTGTATCTCTCCCGGTGACTGCCGTATCACTGGTGCCTCAGGAGTTTGCCGAGAGCTTTGCTAATAACTTTAGCAAACGGTCTATGTTGAAGCAACATGCTTATTATCGCCTCTCTGCAGAGCAAATTCATATTCCTCAGGTAGTTAGTTTGCTTGATTTTCAAGGTTTTAACAGATTTCTAGAATGCGATACGAAGTACAACGAAGACCTTGTGAGGATCTTCTATACATGTCTTTATGGTAAGTTTCCGGGTTCTGAATTTCACACTAAAGTTGGGAATACAAAGGTGGTTGTTAATAATGTTGTCTGGTTGTAATTGTTTGATAAGCCTCCCGTTTCCGATACGGCTCCCGTTGAGGTCACTGACATCCATACAGTTAAGGGCTATGAGTTCAAAGCATCTTTGGACTCGATGTTGAAGAAGTCATATGTTGCTGACATTGTGGCAAGTGACTTATTTCCAAAAACCGTCACTACCAGGAAATTGAAACCGATGGATAGGATCTTGCAATGGATTGTGGCGCGCATTCTGCGGCATAAGAAAGGTGGTTTCTCTTGAGTGGTTCAGGCTGAAGTCCATTTGATTTATATTTTAAATAAAATTATCAGAATTGATTGGTCTTATTACATTGCTAGTAGGATTTATGCCCTTAGGGACTCGGGTCGTGGTACCGCTCTCTCTTATGGGTCATTTATTCAAGAGATCTTAACTAATGTCAAAGTTGTGCTTCCGGATATTCCATATAAATCCCTCACTCCGGATCAAGAGTTCTGTCAAAAGAGTCTTACCATGATGGGTTATATATGGCTTCATGAAGAACAACGTTATAAATTCATTATTAAAGCCACTACCTCTCATTTGGAAGACTCCGATGGGAGTAATGAGGAAGATGATGAAGAAGAAAAAGAACAAAATGAAGAAGGTGATAAACAACCAATGGAAGTTTTCGATCACATAAATGTGAGTTGGGCCAATCAAACTCCTGCCGCAGATCATGGAAATGATCAAGGTTGGAGCCAATGGAAAAATACTAGATGGACGACGTTGCGTGAAAACTATCGACCTCCACAATATTCGAAACATCAGGGATCTCCGCAGTGGGGTAATGAGGAGTATTCAAATTGGGGCTATGAGGAACCTCCACAGTGGGGCCATGAAGACCCAACACACTCCACGAGTCCCCTGCAACAACATTCTTTAGAACTTCTAGAAATGATGAGGGACATGCAATTAGAGCAGCGTGCTTTCATGAATGCTCAGGATGAGCGTCTCACACAACTTCAAAGTCAATTCGAGACGCAGAATGAAAACTTCAACACCTTCTCCTCGAATATCAATCAACGGTTCGATGCTCTGGTTGAATCAACTGAAAGTCAGCACCGAGTCATCTCCAATAGCCTCAATACCTTGAACAATGTTATTTTGGAGTTTACCGACATGGCCGAAGCTCAACTGCCTCCGCCATATTCGTATCGTGGAAGAGGCCAACAATTCAGGGGGAGGAGACATTGAAGACTATGCATTCTGCATATTTGCATTTCATCCTTTCATGTTGTCATGTTCTTTTGCTTTGTATTAAATCCATTTTAATTGTGATAATGTCTTGTTTTTTGAACTTGTGTGTCATCACTTGGGTGTATTCTCTAGCAACAATTGATATGTGTTTTATCGTTATATTTTTATCTATTTGTTTTTTGATCATTAACGTTGTCATGTGTGAATGATTGTTGATGTTTATCCTGTTGTACATGTTTTGATATAAGTATCTGTTTGTTTTAACCGGACTTTCTTTCTTTTTGATGTTCTAAAAGGGGGAGAAAGTGTCAAGCTGGCAGTAGAACCATAAAAGATCAAAATTGAAGACGTTGCAAATGAAGGCATTAAGCAAGGGGGAGGATAATGCCGCACATCATACAAACGGGTTCCACGTGTTTTGCCATCATCAAAAAGGGGGAGTACGTGAGGGCAAAGCCTCATATACTAGATATTTGGGTTTCGATGATGTCAAAACTTAGTCGCATGGAAGAAGAGATGTTTGGCGTTCTCACCGTAATGCATAAGCATGCCATATTTGTTATGTTTCGTTTGCTTGCACAATACATCTCTAGTACTGCACTTAGTATTGTTAAAATGTGCATCATACGAGTTAAAATCTCATTGGTTATCATAGGTATCATCTAAGTGTGTCTAAAATATCAAAATTAGGAAATTTCTGAAATTTCAAGTCCTTGAGTCGACCACACCTTACTCCAGTCGACTCATAATATATGCCTCAAACTTGCTTTTTCCTCGGGATAGGTATGGTCGACCCACCGGTCGACGCATACTGTTAGTATTTGTATCTGTCTAAAAATTCAGGCCTTGCGTCGATGCATAGCCTTGTTCCAGTCGATGCATAGCTGTTTGATTTGCATAATCTATTTGCCATGAGTTAGCTCCGTTCGATCATTCCCTCTGCATGGGTCGACCGCTCGTTGTTTGCTGCATAATTTTAGTCTGTCTATCATTTTTGAAAATTGGTTTTGTCAGTTATTTTTGGTCTGGTATTAATAGAAAGTTGCTCTATTCATTTCATAAGGCAATTGAATCAATTGAGTCAATTGTAAAAACAAGAAAAGTGAAAGAGATGTCAATTCAAGGTCTCATCATCTTCATCTTCAACATTTTATACCACAACAATCACACACAATAATCTTTGTTGTGCATTATGGATTGTTTGAAGTGATAACGTCCGAAACCGTTGATATGGAATCCGGTTCGGGTTGAGGAATTGGGAGGTTTCTCTTGAATAAAACATTTAGGGTTTTGTCCTCCAAGATTCTCTGAATTTGGGGGATTTTGTACGAATCTTCTCAACATATATTCAGCTGAGCGAAGGTGATCAAGGAGCGGTGGGTTCCATCGATCTAGTAGCGGTAATCGGTGAATTGTGAAGGAGAGGTTCGGGTTCGATTAGAGAGTGTTTGAGATCATCCAGGCTAGGGTTTGAAGATGTAAGGTTGGTCAAACAAAGAGTTGTAATCGGAGGTTCATCCACAAGCTATCGAAGGACTTGATTCGACTCGAATCAAGGGTCATGAAGAGAAAGCATCTACAACAACAAGGGTGTTTGTTTGTGCATTTGCTATTCTATTCTTGTATACACGATTCTACAACAGGTTATATTTATATTATACGAGCTTGATTCTATTGTTAGAATTGAGGGCAGACGTACCCCGAAGTGAGGACGGCGGGGGAACTACCTCAACAAATCCATGTGCCTTTTACATTACGCTTTTACATTTGCTTAATATTTCTGTGATTTTCGTACAAACAATTATATCAAATTTAGGCTTGTTTTGAGTAAGTGTTGAATTAATTTTGACTCTAGTATAATAGTTTATTGTACAAGGAAACTAGAGCTACTTACTAAAAGCCGAACTCACTTGGAGTGCTCCACACACCAAGTGTTTGATAAATTGTCTGAACCAAAATTCTCGTGTGCTGTCCATTTATTTTGTTGGCATTTTAAGGCATTGGAACTAGTCATACCAAGTAGTGATCTAAATCAAATTGGTAGTGTGACTAGCATGGTGATTCTCATTTCTCATTATCAATTTCCATAGGCTCAACGCATATCCGGTTTTCTAGTAACGGTTCATTATAGACGGTAATTTTTCCATGGCCGCTTCCGCAAATTAAACAAATTTTTAAAACCAATTTTATTGGTAGCGCCGACTCATTTTTTAATAAGGGATCTATTCAACCTCCCCTTCTAGATCCGTGCCATCGTCTAACATAAGTTTCCATTTGATTTTCTTTAATTGTTTTGTTTCTATTGGAGGCTGTAGTTCTTTGGTTTGAGATTTCCTTAATCTCATATTAATGAAATTGCTTATAAAATAAACACCGATATTTTCATTTTTTTTTGTTTCAATAAATTTATCTAAAGACCCTTTTTGCGATTTAAAAAAAATAATCATTTAATTTTTTTTGTAATTTTGAGTAACTTGATTCATATTTTCATGTTGACATTATATATTTTAATATAAAATACATAAAATATAAAAAAATTACTATAAATAAAAATCAAAGAGATAAAATTAGAACTATAAAACCTAGTTTTCTTAAAATTAGGTGTTACATTATTACGTGTCTTCTTTCGCGTTCCGTAAAAAAGAAGTTGTTTATTGTTTTAAAGCCTAAACAATTAAAAACATGACAAATATTTTAAAATTTGATAACTGAAAAAATTAAATTAACAAAAAAAATTAAAATTCGAAAGAACTTAAATAATGATTGAAAGAACTGAATTAAATACAATGCTGCAAGCAAATAAACAAACTTAAAAAATTGAATTATTCAAGATAAACAACCTGTATCGTTAAATAGTGACGTAATAAAATAAAATGTTAAAGAGACAAGAGCTTCACCAGACAAGAGCTTTACCATGCCCAGGAGAACCAAAGGCAGGATTTATTCAATGTAAACATTATATAATATGTTAAGATATGTACAGGAAGAATCACCCACCTTAATTAAATTGAGGAAGATATGCTTAGATAAAAATCAAAGGTCAACTGGCTGCAATTAGAGGACAACAACAATGCATACTTCCATGCATCTATGAGAGAAAGAAACAAGGAAACATGACTTTATAGTATGAATGCTTTGAATGGAGGCCTGCTGAGCACCCCTGAGGACATAGAGAAGGAAATTGTGGATTTTTATACTAAGTTGGTTTGCACAACAACATCATATAAACAAGGTATTGACATTCCTATTATGAGAGCTGGTAATACCTTGAGTAGAGCAGATGCTCATAAACTCATTAAGCCTATATAAGACAAGGAAATTCGGGATGCCCTCAATAGTATTGGAAACAATAAAGCCTCGGGTATTGATGGATTCAATGCATACTTTTTTAAGCAGACTTGGCAGGTTATAAAAAATGATGCGAGAGATGATATCAGGGAGTTCTTTGAAACAAGCTACATGCATAAAGCCATTAATTGCTCCTTGATTACTCTAATCCCAAAATCATATGAAGCTAGAACTATCAAGGATATGAGGCCAATTGCCTGCTGTAGTACAACGTACAAGATCATTTCAAAAAATTTGACAGCTAGACTTGGTAAAGTCATTGGCAACATTATTGAAGAAACTCAATCTGCATTTGTACTTGGCAGAACCATCCATGATAATATAATGTTGGCTCGGGAATTGGTTAGAGTCTATAATGGGAAACACATATCACTAAGATGTATGATCCAACTTGATATTCAGAAAGCATATGACACTATGGAATGGTTGGCTCTGACGAACATCATGCAAGAACTTGGAATCCCTCAAACCTTCATTAATCGGACCATGGCTTGTGTGTCAATTATATCATACAGATTCTCCATTAATGGTGCTCCAACTGATCTCATAAATCTAGGAAAGGGTTTAGATAGGGTGACCCCCTCTATCCCCTATTATTTGTAATTATCATGGAGTATTTACATAGAATCCTTCAGAGTTTACAACATAATCCTGACTTTAACTTCCACCCCAAATGTGAGAAGTTAAAGATCATTAATCTATTTTTGTAGATGATGTTATCTTATTCACTAGAGGTAATATCGTTTCTTTGAAATTGATCATGGATAGAGTACAAGATTTCTCAGCAGCCACTAGGTTATATATCAGCAACCCCAAAAGCAAAATCTATTTTGGTGGAGTGGGTGATAGTACCCGAAGATTTTTGCAGCATGAAACAGTTCTGACTGCAGGTGTGATGCTCTTTAGATACTTAGGGGAGCCTTTGAATAGTAAGAACTTGTCCATCAATAATTTCCAGCCGCTAATAGATAGGATGGTTCAAAGACTTAAACATTGGAGTACAAGGCTATTGTCTTATGCAGGTAGAGTACAACTGATTAGAAGTGTGTTGTTCTCGATTTCTAATTACTGGATGCAGATTTTTCCTCTCCCTAAGAATGTGATTACTCATGTGGAGGGACTCTGTAGAAGATTTGTGTGGACTGGAAAAGATGCTATTAGTCGAAAAGCTTCAATATCGTGGGATCATATTTGTGATCCAATTTCAGCTGGAGGAAAGAACATTATATCTTTGGTTGAATGGAACAAAGCTACTCTTAGAAAATTATTATGGAACATATGGACCAAGAAAGATATTATATGGATTAGATGGTTGCAGGCTTATTACTTGAAAAATATAGAGGTTCAAGATTACAATCCTGCCAAAACCTGTTCTTAGGTGGTGAAGCAATTTTCAAGAACAAAGAGATGCTTATAAACTCTGAACCTTGGCAACACTTCTAGGCTGAAGGAAACTATTCTATTAGCATCAAGTATCGAGCATTAAGAGGGACCAAGCCTAAGGTTGATTGGAGAATCCTATTGTATGGTAATCTTGCAAGACCTAGAGCCACTTTCATACTTTGGATGGTGTGTCAAAACCGTCTCATGACTAAGGACAAGATGGTGAAGTATGGGATGGAAACTGATGGTCTATGTCTGTTTTATCATGAGAAAGAAAGTTGTGATCATATCTTATTTGATTGTTTGTGTATAAAACAGATTTGGAAGCATGTTCTTTATGGATTTGGAATTGAGCATGAACCAAATGCTTGGAGCAAGGAAATACAGTGGTTACTATATAACACTCTAGGTAAAAGTAAGAGAGTCAAACTCATTAAATGTGCAATTGCAGAGACGATTTACCATGTTTGGAATGTCAAGAATCAAATTGTATTCAAAGGTTATCGTGTAGATGCCTTATATAGTAGAAAAATTAATGATATTATCCTCCTTAGAATTGAAAAAAAAATAGGAAACTTATGGAATACTGTAATTTGACTAGTTAGATAGGGCTTAGATCCTTTGGTGACTTTAGTTATTCGGGTGCCTGGATCGTTTAGGTTCGGCTTGGTTTGTATTGTTTTTTGATAATAATATATATCTCCATATTCCAAAAAAAAATTGTTAAAGAGACTTGCCAACAAAACTAAAAATTTGAGAGTAAAAGAGGAAGAGTGAAAGACAATGTGTGCGCTAATGTTAAAAAATATGTGATGTAGAACCATGCTTCAGTCTCAAGTTTTGATGATGTCAACACTACTCAAGGTCATCTCTTGATTGCAAAAAGACAAGCCTTTCAAAGTTATCAAGATCAAGTCAAGCTATCTTTCAAGTCAAGCTACATATGGAACTATGATTCTTCAAGACTTGGATACATTGCGGGTATATCAAATTCTACCCTTATAATTGATATACAAGTGTTCAAAAACATCAAGCATTTTAGCATAATACATGAGCATGTTTTTGGAACTTTAAAATTGGTATAGCATTTATTTTTTAAAGCATTTTTCTGAAAAATAGCAGTGTTAACCGATTAACCATATAAGTTAACCGGTTAACCATTTCAAATTTTAAATAATCTGGGCTAACGTTCCAGTGTTAACCGATTAACCATATAGGTTAACCGATTAACACTGAACGTACAGTGAAAAATGGCTTTGTTTCAAGTTCAAAAATTGTTTGAAAATTACACCATTTCATATTTTTTAAATCTACTCAAATATACCTTTTTGAAAGAGTATTTTACTCATATAAATTCTGAGTTTTTCAACTTTGAAAAACACAACTAACACCTCCAATCTCCAAACACTTTCTACATTCCTTTCAAATTTTTCTTAGAATCAAATTCACCATTTTCAAAATCTTTTATTAAATGTTCATATGTGCATAAAATTTCATATTCATCTTTGAACACTTGTGTTGAAAATTGTAAGAGTGAATTTTGATCATTTGGAGAAGATCAACTTTGATTGATAGTATTATTCTCAAAACAAAAATCTTTACAAGTATTTGTATTCTGACTTGTGATCCAGGATTGTTGGACACAAGGGTGAGTGTTTACAAGAGGATTGTTCTTGTACACTTGTTAGTTTTATTGTTTGATAGTAGGCCTCACCATTTGATGGTGTGATAGGTTGTACTTTATTAAACAATAGTGAAAATTCTCTTTCGTGTTGAAAGGGGAGTGGAGTACTCTCGGATTGTGAGGGGAACCACTATAAATCCTCGTGTCCATTGTTCTTTTACTTTCTTTTGCTTTCATGACCAAGAACACAAACCAGTAAAATTTCAAGAAACCATAAAAAACCGGAAAAATTTCTAAAGTCCTAATTCACCCCCCCCCCCCCCTCTTAGGCATACTCTGTACTTTCAATTGGCATCAGAGCAGGTTAAGGTAACCTGTTCCTATCGATCCTAATGGCTTCCGCTAGTACTAACCCGGTTTTCAAAGATGGTGGAAGTAGTAACAAGCCACCACTCTTTTCTGGAGAATACTTCGATTTTTGGAAAATCCGTATGAAGGCACATCTTGAGGCTCAAGGAGATGGTATATAGGAAACCGTTGAAACTGGTCAACATGTTCCTACAAGTGTGGTAAATGGTGTTGGAACCCCAAAGATTAAATCCTCATATGATGAAGATGACAAGAAGAGAATCTTGAATGAGAAGAAAGCAATCAACATACTTCAAAGCGCTCTCAGTATGGATGAATTCTTTCGCATATCACAGTGTCAATCGGCAAAACAGATTTGGGATACCTTGGTAGAAACGCATGAAGGAACAGTAGAAGTAAAAAGATCAAGACTTAACACGTTAAGTCAAGAATATGAGATGTTCCGTATGCAGCCCGGTGAATCTATTGTTGCCTTGTAAAAAAGGTTCGTTCATCTAAAAAATCATCTGATTGCTCTCGGGAAGACCTTCACCAATGATGATCTCAATTTAAAAGTCCTAAGATCCTTGACAAGAGAATGGCAACCGAAGGTGACCGCCATTTCGGAAAAGAAAAGTCTTTCAACAATGACATCCGCTTCATTATTCGAGAAACTTCAAGAGCATGAACTGGAACTTGGAAGGCTTGAGAAACATGAAAGTCAAGACAAGAAGTCCAAAGGAATTGCCTTGAAGATTGACACAAGGGATGATAAAAATGACGAATCTTCCGAAGACGAAAACTTCATGCTTCTAGTAAAGAAGCTTGGTAAGTTTTTTAATAATAATAAAACTTCTTCTTTTTCTAAAAAGAATAGACATTTCAGGAAAAAGGAGGCACCCACATCAAACCAAGAAATTACATGTTACGAATGTGGGAAACAAGGTCACATAAAGCCAGAGTGCCCGAAACTCGCAAATAAAGGAAAATTCAAAGGCAAGAAGGATTTAAAAACAAAGAAGGCTTATGTCGCATGGGACGACAACGAAGTGAGTTCATCATCGGAATCAGATAACGATGAATGCGCAAATATGGCTTTAATGGCCTCTCACCATTCCGATGACGAAAATGAGGTTAGTAGTAGTTTTTCTGTCTATGATAATGATGCACAAGAAGTCATAGATGAACTTCTAAAAGAGTGCAAGACTTTGTATAAAGATATCTCATCACAAAAGAAAAGAATTTTACTTTTAGAAAAACAAAATTCTGATTTCCTGAAAAATATTGAAGATGAAAAACAAAAAGTGATGGATGAAAAACAAAGTCTTATATGTAAGAATTGTGAGTCTTTGTCTTTTCAAATTGTTCAACTTAAACGAGTTTTAGAAAGATATGAAAAAGGTCAAATTGGCTTGGAATAAATTCTTAAACATCAAAGGTATCCTAATGATAAAAGTGGATTGGGATACTCTAAATTTTCAAAACCAAGCACCAATAAGACCATTTTCGTTAGAGCAAGTGAACAAATTGTTAAAGAAGAGACAAGCACTTCTAAAATTCAGCATCAAAATCATAACAAGAAAAGAATTGATAAGAAAAAGAATTATATTCCTAGATATAGAAGTCATTTTCAACCTACATGTTTTTACTGTGGAATTAAAGGGCACACACCTAATGCCTGCTATGTACGTAATATTGGTATTGCAAAGGGGCATTATGTGTGGGTTGAAAAGGGTACTAACTATCAAGGACCCAAAGCAATTTGGGTACCTAACACTACCTAATTTTGTTTTGTAGGTATGCTTGAAGACAACCGCAAATCAATGGTATCTTGATAGTGGTTGCTCGAAGCATATGACGGGAGATATAAACAAATTTTCAAGTCTATCATTAAAGGCCAAAGGATACGTCACTTACGGTGATGATAATAAAGGAAAAATTCTTGGAGTTGGAACCATTGGTGCACCTCCATGTACAATCATCGAAGACGTTCTTTATGTTGAAGGCCTTAAGCATAACCTGCTTAGCATCAGTCAATTGTGTGACAAAGGGTTCAAAATCAACTTCACAAAGGAGGAATGCTTGATCGAACACGAAGTCACTCATGAGATTCTGCTAAAAGGTAAAAGATATAATAATATTTTTTATGATTTCTTTTGATGATTCTTCCTTGAAGGTAAAATGTCTTATGACAAACAACAACGAGGCATGACTTTGGCATAAAAGATTTGCTCATATTCACATGGAG